CTTTGTAACAATGAAAATACATCCTGCATATCAGAAATTTACATTACAATTCATAACAGTAGCAAAATTACAGTTGTGAAGTAGCAACAAAAATAATTTTATGGTTAGGGGTCACCACAACACGAGGAACCGTATTAAAGGGTCGCAGCACTAGGAGGCATTAGGAAGGTTGAGAACCACTGCTCTATGTGGAAAGCCTACCCAGTGTGTCAGGTGCTGGGTTCGTAATACACATTTTTCCTTCATCAAGTTCTATCTGTAAGCCCACAATTAATCATTTCATAAATTATATGAAATTTACGAAATTTAAAACTGGTATAATAGAAATTTAAAATCCTTTTGCCTGCAGAGATGCAGAGGATAATAATCTAAGCTTTACTTTATGAGGCAAAAGAAGCATCAACAGAATGAAAACACAACTCTATGGCCAAATATATTTGGGTGACTTCTAAATGCATTATCAATGTTAGTTTTCTACAAATCTCAGTTATCACGTAATAAAGTGGTATTTTTCTAATTTACCAAGCAGCTTCGGCAACTTTGTACTTTATTAAGTATAATCTTGGTGCTTTCCAGGATAAGCACCTGGAAAAGTCTGGAGATTTCATTCCCTTCTAGTTTTATGAATGCAGATTTAAAAAATTCATTGATAGCTTTCAATATCAATTTCAAAAGGAAAAGCACTCAAATTATTACTATATAGACAGGTATTCAAAACACAGGGAAAACCAAATATATCTGAAACAGCTTAGCACAGTACAGCTCATCATTACAGCCCCCAGGAAAACTCAGTCTTAGATACCTTAAATTGTTTACAAGAAATCCTTGATGTTAAGATCCGCTAATGGGTCCTTTGCTGGAGGTTTCTTGGGACTCTGAGTGGCAGGTGTAGGGCTTGGAGAATGCTAATGGGGAAAGGCCAGCACCAAAGAGCAGGAACAGGAAGCAAACAGAGAGACAGGTGAGCGTTAGGCAGGACGCAGGCCACGGAAGCAAACTCACGGGAGATCGGTGTTAAAGGCTGAACCTTCTTTGCCCCCCAAGTCACGGCGCTGTGTTTGATTTGGGACTAGTAAAGCACATGTCAACCAATACTTGGCTTTCTAGAAATGCCCTGACATCACATTCCAGCCAAAGTAAAATTTAGAGACTCTGGTACAAAAATATGGATCTGAATTAGGGAAGATGTGAAAAGCTTAGACACGTAAATTTTGAACACAAAAACAAACAAATGACCATTGATTTTTTTATACAAAAGCATTGTTACTGCGAATTATTAGTACCACTATACTAATTAAGCAATTTAAATAGCTTTTCTTATAGTAAGAGTGAATTTGAAGGAAAAATGGAAAGAAAACAGTTTGTAGAAAGCCACTTAAAAACTACTTAATTAGCTAAAAATACTTGCATTTCATACCAGTTATTTCCAGTAAAAAACGGTCACATTTGGAGGCACTGTTTGTTTCAGATGACCTCATAGTGTCCCAGGAGTGAACGCCCTGAATTCTACCTGACAACCAATCCAGCTTTCAGTGGGGGCTGGAGGATGGGAGGGGTGGTAAAATGAATCATTAAATACTACAGGAAGGAGTTAAACTGACTGTGTAGCAAAAGTAAAGAATTAACTTACCTTATTTCTGTTGAACCAGAACCTAAATTATTTTTCACAGTGTAACAGACTTGTGGCGGCAGGCTTTTCGGGAAATAGTAGGACATAAGGCCTTGAAGAGCCTCACATGGTCTGTACAGGGTAAGAGCTGACGTCTCTGCTTTGAGTCTAACCAATCTACCCGTGTGGTGATGTGATGGAACAAAGGGCCACAGACGCACGTTTTACTGGCTCAGTAAACAGAGTTGCAGAAGTGTGGCTACTGAAACTCATTCCTCCGTCCAGAAATGACTGGCTGATGGCACTACCTATCAGTCAAATTTTTATGTTTAAAACCAGAATAATGAAATATCATGAGAAATAAATGTAAGGCTTGAAGTTGCCTAGAAGATAAGAAACTCAAGGACTGATTGGTCTGTAAGTAATAATTAGATGAGATGGCACTATCATGGTATCAACCAATTAAAGAATAGTGGGAGGGCGGTGCCTGTGGCTCAAAGGAGTAGGGCGCCAGCCCCATATCCCGGAGGTGGCGGGTTCAAGCCCAGCCCCTGGCCAAAAACTGCAAAAAAAGAATAATGGGATAGTCTAGGCAACAGTGATGAAAACTGATTCTGTTTCTGAAGCTACAAAATCATGCTTATTTTATTCTCTGGTGTAATTAGGCTGCCTCTCTGATATAAGAAACAATCTAACATTGTAGAATGTGGCACATTATCCCCCAACTTCCTATACAGTTGATTACAACAATGTGTGTTCATTGTATCATCTATTTTTCATTTATATTCTTCAAAAATTAAGTAAATAAACGTATGGCATCATATAAGAAAAACAATTGTCTTAAGTAATAGTAAAATTACATTAGTTTATTTCTAAAGCTTTTAGTATACCAAATACAGTAAGGTTAAAACAATTTTAATAACATTGTTCCAAGTTCATAACAGAAACATCCTTCCTTTTTCCCCAAAAGGTGGTAAATAGTCATGGATCTATTCCACCATCAGGGAATAGTCATGATAAATGAGAGCCCTTAGAATTTAAGTATATCAGTCATGGGAACTCTTAGAATTTAAGTATATCTAGGTTAAACTTAACTCCAATCATTTTGCCTAAATCCTGCCTCATTCGCCCTCAAAACAACTCCAGGTGGGATCTGCTCGTCTTGAGTTGATGGGAAAATGTCTCCTAAAG